CTCGGTGTCAACAATCAGTTTCTTTTTTCTTTTTTCTCTTCTTTTGGCTTACGCACGCGATCTCACATAGAAACATAGTATATTTACGCTCTAAAATTCCCATGCTCTCCCTCTTTCTCCCCTTTTGTTTCGTTTACAGATTCTCACTCTCTCTTTCCCTTTCGCTCCCTCTCATTCTCACATTCGGTCGTTTTTCTCTTCCTTTTCTCCCGGGTTCGCTCCTCCACTTCGTTCCTATCGCGCGCGCGAAAATTCGAAAGACGCGATTTCCGCCTCGCTGAAACGATCATCCGGGGGAGATAATGTGAAATTTTTTTCCTGTCCCCCCTTTTTCTTTTTATCTTCCCCCTTGCTCTCTCTCTCTCTTTCTGTATACTACCGCGCCACTATCGTAATCGCGCACTCGCCATAATAAATATACCCTAATTATGCTCCTAATAGTTTGAGGAATTATTATTCTCAATGAATTCGCCTTGAATTCCCACTCTGCCTCCTTCGCTTTCTCTCTGGTATCACTTTCGCTCCCTCCCATTCTCACTGATTTCTCTTGTTATCACGGCTTAATCTCGAACTCGATAGTAATGATCGTAATAATAATAATATAATCATATAATAATAATTAGTTTATTAGTGTGTGTGTTTTTTTTTTTAAAGTAGGTATCCTCTTCCTCTGCAGCGTGATACGACCTTCCGCTCTCGTCTTTTATCTTTAGTTAATCGTTTATATAATAATTAATAGCTTGCAAGTGTTAACGTTAAATACTATTACTTACTTCTGCTTACGTGTTCTTAAAACTTACGCGTTTAGGTATGTACGTATGCTTATTATTTCTTCCCATTTCTTCTCTCGTATTTCGTTCTCATATTTTTTTTTTTTTTAATTTCGTTCCGTCCCGTGTACTCGTTTCTCCGTGCGTCGGCCCCGCTGCATTAATAATGTAATATAAACGGCGAGTCGATAGACTTTACTCTACATTATACTTCGTTTTTTTTTTCGTAAGATGAACGACTCTTAAATCTTTCGTCCTTCGGGAATGTGTGGTGCCTCTTATCGTCACGACATTCCTCTCAGAGTGCATATCTCGGTCGATCTCGCCGTCTGCCCTTCTTACGTTCGTTCCATTCTCATTGTTTACGCGCATCCGTAAAATCGTTGCGAATTTGCCCCTTTTTTTTTCTTCGCGCTCTCTTTTTCTCTCTCGTGCCGTTTATCGTGCCAGTTCCGTCCCGCGATCTAATTGTCGCGTCGGTAGATCGGGACCAGTAGCATCGATCGGGAGGATAAAAAAAGGAAGCGCGGCTGAGTCTCTCTCTCTCTCTCTCCCGAGTCGATGAGAGAAATTTCCGGCGATCGCGACGACGAACCGCCGCGATCGCCGTGTTCGTTTACCATTGTTTCAGACACTTTTCTCCTGAAGTCCCCGAGTCTCTCGAGGTGGCTCGAGAGTACGTCTGCTATTAATATCTAGAACGATTTGTGTCCTTCGCGCTAGGAGCTTCGATTCTCGGTCGACGGAGAAATGAAAGAGAAGCGGACTCTTATATAATTCTTACGTTTCGAATTCGTATATAGGTGGCCTCGAAGGATCACGCGAGAGTTATGTGTCGTAATAATAGTTTCTAATTCCCAGACTTGTTTTTGCGAATAAGCGGACCATACGAAAAAATCCTCTGATGTTTCAGCCTATTCCCCTGACAAAGGCGATCCTCGAAGCTGGCCTCGAAGTTTACGCTCAGGTCTTTCTTTTTCGCTTTCACCGCTCTCCAAAGCTTGTGGTCATACTCCAGTAGCGAAGAATGTGCGGAATCGAAATATAGTCAAATTGATTTAATTCACATTATGAATACGTACATATGTGATTTACGGTGATTTTCTTTGAAAATAAGGAAGGTCACAAAATCTTGTGGTATTAAATTTCATTGTAGCACGGTTGCGATTTAACGTACGTCGATTTAATGTTGCAGTGATAGTTATTTCTTGTTCTTCTGAATGCGGATATAATGTTCAAAAGAGCGGAATGATCATTTTCGGTATGACAAAATGTCGATCGTGAACATGTTTCACGAATATGTGCGATTGCCGCTGAAGTTACGAAAATTATTTCATTTCCCGTAAGTCCAGTGCAATCGAAGAAAAGAGAATGAGAACGATTAAGTTAATATCGACTTATGTCTCATGGCGTTAATATTGAAGTAGCGTATATTTCTTTAGTAGTAAGTTTGTATTCAATGCTGGGATCTGTTGTCAAAAATTATGTAAAGTTGTGTTGCTATTAACGATTAATTGGGAAGCTATTGACGCGTATCGACGTGAAAGCGCAAAGCTTGCGGGACGATGCTCGAAGTACGATGCGAGTAAATACATTAAAGATTCATAAAAAAAAAATGGGGACGGGGGGGAGCTGTTAAATTAGATTTTAAGTGCTGTCTTTGCATTTAATTCTGGATATATTATATTGGGAATGTATTATACTTTGATTTGTTTTCTCTGTTAGTGAAAAACCAATCATTATGAAAAACATTAATGTTTTAATTAAATTTCGAGTATTGCCTTTTGCAATTCTTCGTGTATCATTAAATTAAAGCCTCTTAATGACCGTTTAATGTTTCATGGTACATGGCAACGAAAAAGGATAGGATGTATTTGACTGAAATAAGCTCAATAATCCAATCACAATCGAGTTGATTATAAAAGTAAACAAAAAAAAACGTAAAAATAAGATTTATCAACAATTATTGGGTATATATAAATTCATTCTCCGAAAATTCTTAAGACACACAAATTGTGTTAAAAGGAATATTTAACTTAAATAATAATAATAATAATAATAATAATAACATACATTTCCGAGGGATAATTTTTTTACTTGCACTCATTAATTATCGTGACACGAATACCACCCCAAGATTGCGACAAGCGAGTCAGCGAGTTCAGATAACGCGTATCCTGTACAATCCTCTTTTACAATATCCAAATATTTTCCTCTCTATTCGCTCGTCACTTATTCTTGCCTCCCGTTATAAATGTTTAGACCAAAATCTTAGGCCAGTGCCGAAGGAGTCGCTACTAGTTTTAGGCCAAAGTCTAGTGTGTATTACATAATAAAAGTTGAAATTTTCATAATTTCGTTCTCGCTTCTACAACGCGTGTTCAAGTTCGGACACTCGAAAGCGGCTACTCGTCTCCATCTTCGTTGAACTCGCCGATCACGAATTCACGGGTGCTACATTCGAGTCTTTTCACTTCTTTTTACGAAAAAAAAAAAAAAAAAGAAAAAAAGATAGGCCAGGCGGGCAATCAAGAGTGTTCCGAATATATTAAATCAAGACCATTTTTTTTGCCTTTTACCACATAATGATTTTCGGATTCTCGAATATAGGATAGGGGTATCGTAAATCAATTAATGCGCAGAAATAAAATAAAATTACACAAAATCAGACGCAAATAAAATTTCAATTCATTTTCTCTTTTTATTGTCGTAATTAATTAATAAATAAAATAATAATCAATAAATCGACCATTAATCAATTAAAAAATAGTGACTCGTGACTAGGTTAAGACTCACCGCTTGCAAAAAAAGATGTGTGTGTATGTGTACTTTTTTTTGTGTGTACGGCCCGGTACAAACTACTGAGGGGCATAATTTTAATATAATCATTATCATAATAACTAAATATACATAATAACTAAAAATACAGCGTAATGTCAAGCACGGGATAAATAAAGCTTGACAAAGTTGGGAACGGCAAAAAGTTGGAGGAAGGAATCTTGTGAAAAAACAAGATGAGAGGATAAAAATTAGGTAGCACGGAAAGAGCGGCGTGGAAATTGCGTAGTGGAGAGGAGAGAAGGCAGGGTTAATATAAAATTAACTAAATTCTCTCCGTAAATGACAATTCCAACGAATGACAATAATAATATTAATAATTATAATAATTTCATACTAAAATTGTCATACTGATATAGATAATAGTGAGTCTAATAATAATAATATAATAATATATTAATAATATAATAATACAATAATAATAGCAATATAATAATGATAATAATAATAATAATAATAGTGCACGTAGTAGCGAGAGTAATGGTGAGAAAAATAAAGAGTTAAATTATGTGCATTTCGCTACCACTCGAATTGTATCCCTAATATTTCTTATATCGTCCCGTAATGTATCTACAGAAGTTTCTAGCGAAAGTAAAGAAGGTCGCAAAGTAAGAGTATGTGGGGCGCCGTCTCTGATTTTTTCGCACGTTCGTGCGCACGATCGCATGGTGCAGGTTAATATATAATACGTGTGTAAGTGTCTCTGCTAATTTGCGTGTCGCGTAAGTCTGTACGTAGGACGGGGGGGGGGAGGGGGGAATTAATATATAAATGGAGAAAAGGAAGCGCGGTTGTGCAACCCTCTTCGGCGAAACGTCTTCTTTACGCTACTTTAAATCACGCCAGCATCCGTCTCTCCTTTCGTTTTATCGCTTTAGAAGTCTAATATTTATATAAATTAATCGCATCGGCGCACGATTATATAGCAATTCGCTCTTTTCTTTTTGTTATTTTTCTCATTTTTTTTTTTTTTGTGAATTTGCAACGCTCTACAGTCGGAATGCCGCTGGCGCACGATCCTCGATACAGACGCCGCATCCGCGACCTGCAACTTTTGTCGCCCGTCACTACTCCCTAAATCTCGTCACTACGACTAGCCTAATCTCGTTTATACAATCAACCATTAATAAAAACAGCTATATATATTGACCCGTGCACCGATCCTCTCAATGCAACGCTATGCACTCTCGACAAACGTACTCTTTATCGACCCGACAACAATTAATGTTCAGCGAGCGAAAGGGGGGGGGG